GTATGCAGATATTTTGTTGAGTTGTACACTGGAAACCTGTTTGATTTTAGTAACCAAGGTCACCTTAATAAATCCATTAAAAAATAAAAAATAAAAAGACTGACTCCACTAAGTGTTGGTGAGGATGTCCAAAAACTGCAGGTGGGAATGCAAAATAGTACAATCACTTTGGAGAGAAATTTGTAAGTACTTAAAAAAGTAAATATATGCTTACTCTGTGATCCACCCATTCTGCTACTAAGTATAGAGCCAAGGGAAATGAAAGCATGTGTCCATACTAAGATGCATTTATAAATGTTCATAGCAGCTTTAATTATAATAGCTTCAAATTTTAAAGAACCAAAATATCATCAACAAACAAATGGATAAGCAAACTGTGGTACATTCATTCAACAGAATGCTACTTAGCATTAAAAAACAAAGTACTGATACACATAAGAACTTAGATGGATATCAAGGGCATTATGTTGAGTAAATGATGCCAGACAAAAAAAAAAAAGGTGATGATCCCATTGATATAAAATTTTGGAAAATGAAAACTAATCTACAGTGATAAAAAGCAGATTGTTGATTGCCAGAAGGGGAGTGTGGGAAAGGGTGGAGAGAGGAAGTAAAAAAGAGCAATAAAGATACTTTCGGGGTGAGGAATATTTTCACTCTTTAATGAATGATGGTTTTATGAATGCATACATATGTCAAAAGTTATGAATTTGTTCAAATTTAAATATATGTAGTTTATTGTATCTCAAAAATACCTTAAGGTTGTTTTTTAGAAATCCTTCTGGAACAGGACTAGACCCACATTAATAGGCTCATGTGATCACTGACAAATAAGCAAAGGCAATACAATGCAGCGAAGACACTCTTTTAAACAAATGGTTGTGAATCAACTGGACATCCAGGGGCCAAAAAAAGAAAGAAAGAAAGAATCTAGACACTGACCTTACACCCATCACAAAAATTAAGTCAAAAGAAGTCACAGACCTAAATGTAAAATATAAAACTATAAAACTCCTAGAAGACAACATAGGAGAAAACCTAGATGACCTTGGGTGTGGTGATGACTTTTTAGATACAACACGAAAGGCATGATCCGTGAAAGAAATAATTAATAAACTAGATTTCATTAAAATTAAAAACTTCTGCTCTACAAAAGACAATGCCAAGAGAATGAGAAGATAGGCCACAGACTGGCAGAAAATATTTGCAAAAGATACATCAATAAATGATTGTTATCCAAAATATTCAAAGAACTCTTGAAACTCAACAGTAAGAAAACAAATAACCTGATTAAGAAATAGACCAAAGACCTTAATAGACACTTCACCAAAGAAGATATTTAGATGGCAAATAAGTATATGAAAAGATGTTTCATATCATATGTCATCGGGGAAATGCAAATTAAAAAAAGAGTTACTACTACCAGAATGGCCAAAATCTGAAACACTGACACCACCAAATGCTGGTGAGGCTGTAGACTATCAGGAACTCTTATTCATTGCTGGTGGGAAAGCAAAATGGTACAGTCACTTTGGAAGGCAGTTTGGTAGTTTCTTAAAAAATAAACATACTCTTACTATATAGTACAATGGTTATGCTTCTTGGTATTTCAACCCAAAGGAGCTGAAAACTTATGTCCTCACAAAAACCAACACATGATGTTTATAGCAACTCTGTTCATAATTGCCCAAATGTGGAAGCAACCAAAATGTCCAGCAGTAGATGAATGGATAAATAAATTACATCCAGAAGATGAAGTATTATACAGTACTTAAAAAAATGAGCTATCAAGGGATGAAAAAACATGGGAAACTTAAATGCAAATTAGTAAGTGAGAAAAACCACTCTGAAAGGCTACATATTATATGATTCCAATTATGTGACATTCTGGAAAAGGTAAAACTGTGGAGACAGAAAAGATTAGTGGTTGCCAGGCGGCGTGTGGGGATAAATATGCAGAGCACAGGAAGGAAGATTTTTAGGGAAGTGGAAATACTTTGTATGATACAATAATGATGGAATAACATCATTTACATCTGTACAAACCCATAGGTTGTATATTACCAAGAGAAACACTAATGTAAACAACAGACTTTGGGTATTTTGATGTATCAGTATAGGTTTACCAGTTATTACAAATGCACTGCTCTATTGGCAGATGTTGATAATGGAGAAAGCTATGCATGTGTGGGGTCAGGAGGAATACAGGAAATCTTTGTGTCTTCACCTATGCTTTGTTGTAAACCTTAAACTACTCTAAAAAATTAAGTATTGATTTCTAAAAATTGCTCTCTCTGCTCAATGCAGAGCTCACTCCAAAAAAGTAAAAGTGGGAGAGAGAGACTATTTACAGTGGTCCAGTTGAGAAAGGCCAGTGTCGTGAACTAGGTTGGCAGTAGCAAAAATGAAGAGAAGTGGAAAAATTTGTGATATACACAGGAAATAAAATCCACAGGATCTGGAGAATGTCCACCATATTCTAAAGGTCAGTTCATTCTGGCTTTTCAGACCAAAGAGCTACGGAAAATTCCATTAACAAAGTCCCCTTGAAATTAACAAGGACTTCCATGGCAAAAACCCTTAACTCTCATGTCCTGAGAAGACATCACTGGTTACTGACTTGCTAAAAATAAATGCAAAGAATATAAAGGAAAAGAAGAAAGAGAAGAAGAAAGATGGTATGTACAAGCACATAATTTATATAATATTATTCAACAGGGCCTCTTGATTTTAAAACAAGGGCAGGAAAATGAGATTTGAGATGGGACATAAAAGTTCTAAATTCAAAATCAAGGACTACATGCACTCACTATGTCACAGTAGTTAGCCTTTCCTGTCTATGTTCTAAATGTTTATAACACCACCTTTAAAAATAAAATATAACAAATGACCCTTCAGATTTGTATGTTTTCTTGTTTACAAAGTTGTTCCATATACATGACCTCCTTTAATTATCACATCAGACATTTGAGATTATTTATTATCGGTCACTATTTTCTGATGAGAAAACTGAAAACAATTTTTATGCTATGGAAGCAACGTGAATTTTGGAATAATTCAGACCTGGATTTAAATGTCTGGCTGTCATTTATTCAATGGGCAATTATTCAGAGAATTATTTCTCATCTTTTTTTTTTCAGGTTACTCTGCTTATAACTACCCTCGTCACCACTGTCCATTGGTCATTTTACTACCATTAGCAACCCCTTCCATACCCACCCTTTACTGGGTGTAAATAAGAAAACTCAAGTCAGTCACAGCATTCTAAATTTCTAAGTGTTAGAAAATCTATGTGGTACAGCCTCTACCTCCTCTTCTCCCCATTTCACAGAACAAGAAACTTAAGCTAAGGGAGAGGAAGATTAATAGTTTGTAGACAAACAATTCTCCTAGCTCTGAGACCTATGCTATTTCCATTCTACTTTCCCACCAGCCCAGCTGACTCAATTACTTCTGAACAACCTTAGTTAAAAGCTTTTGTGGGCCTTTTGTGGACCCAGGGTAGCTCAGTTGGTTAGAGTGTTGAACCCATACACCAAGGATGAGGGTTTAATCAACTGTCAGGGTACACACAAGAATCAACCAACAAATGCATACATAAGTGGAACAACAAATCCATGATTTTCTCTCTCTCTCAAAAAAAAGAAAAAAGCAGCTTTGGTGAAACTAGAGGTTCCATCTATTCAAATATGTTTTCAAAATATCTGCATTTCAATTACATATTCCTGTTTCTCATTACATTAAGAAATTGAGGATGAGTCTTGTTACAATTAGACATTTCTATGAATAGGCTGCTTCTTTACCATAAGGAGTGGTTAGTGAGATTCTTCACCAAAAAAGGAGAATGTATTTAGGATATGTCCAGGTAAAGGCGGGACCATTAAAATCCCTGGGAATAATGTTTCACCTCCTCAGGCCTTTGAATTCTATAAAGTTCATTTATAGCCCTTTTCCAAGTGTCCTTGACATTGATGAGTCTAGCTAAAATAGCAATGAGATGGAATACTAGTTAAGGTTCTGCTAATATAGAAGATAGAAAAAATTGTGCCCTTGCTTCAATGTCTTCATATGGAAAGTAGATCTGATCATACCCTTTTCTTCTCTGCCTTTAGGATTAAGTTATCTCCTGTGGTCAGGGTAAATAAATACTTATGATGCTTGGCTGTGAACAATATAAAGACTTTGTAGACGCTTGTAAAAAAGTAGAAGAGGACGAGATTAAAATCTCCACAAGCCTGGGACAGATAGAGGCAGCGCAGACCTAGAGGTCTAAGGAATTTAAAAGCTTAGGAAGCACAGGATCCCTCTCAACACAAAGGAAAACTCTTTCTCTATAGAACTACCTTTCCATTTCCTCCACTACTTCATTTCCACCTGCCTGTCCATATTTCCACAGGGACTATGGGGCCTCCTCCACAGAAGAGCAATTGCAGTATCTCGTGTCACCCTCCACTACTGGCTGTCCACCAAGAAGAAGAAAAGGAGAAGAAAAGCAGCCCTATGTAAGTTCCAGTCTCTGAATAGTGCAGTTTGTAAGGTTACAATATACAAAGGCAATTTGAAAATGGAAATGCCTGTAACAAAGGTCCACAACACCCCCGAACAAAATCGAGGTCCCTGTGCATACGACATGAGTTTTTGGTGTTTGTGTGTTTGCCTGTTTGTGTGGGCAATTTTGCCTTTGCACATTTGGATAGGTGAGAAATGTGTGATTGGAGGCAATTCCAGAAAGGAAAAGGGGAAGAAGAGAGGACAGAGCCGATTTCTGGTTCCCAGGCAGAGGGTTCCTAGAGCAACTGGTACCATGCCACGAAACCCCATCTATGCCTATGGAGGAATCTGAAAGATTTCAACAAGTATCTGCTGACTTGGCAATAGCTTGTCTTCAGCTTGTAGAAGACCCTCCAGTCCGCACTTCTCAGTCTACGTTGAATATAGTCCCTAAGCCATAGGAGTTTATACTCCTATTACCCCTCCCACGCACGCACACTGTCTGTTTTGAGATTGGACTACGGAACCAAAGCTGTAAGTGTTGACCTCTGGGAGCTCCGCTAGCCCTGTCCTCAAATAAAGCTCAGGGTTAAAGCTTCAGCCCTGGAGCCTAAAAACAGGTCCGGGAAAGCAGGAGGCACCAGGGAGCTAGGGTCTTCCTGGGCTAGAGCGATCCTCTTCTGTTTCACCCACGCTGCGCCAGCACTTGTTTCTCCGAAGCCACTCGGCATTAGTGCGCGGGGAGGGGAGGGGAGGGGAGGGAAGGGAAGGGTGGGGAGGAGAGGGGAGGGAAGAGAAGGAAAGGGGAGGGGAGGGAGAAAGGAGGTGGGAAGGCAAGGAGGCCGGCCCGGCGGGGGCGGGACCCGACTCGCAAACTGTTGCATTTGCTCTTCACTTCCCAGCTCACCCTCTGAGATCTCAGGGAGCCAACGTGCTGGGAGAGCCTAAGGGTCCCAAGCAAACCTGGAGGCAGAGGAAGCAGCGGAGGGAAAGTGACCAAGCTAGCCGCTCCAGTGTGGGACAGGAGCCGAAGGGACGCCCGCGTCAGCCCCAGCCGGGTTCTGGCGGCTGCCAACGCCTCCTGCAGCGCAGCGGCTTCGAAGCCGCCGCCCCGGAGCTACGCTTTTCTCTTCGGTGAAGTTTTTAAAAGCTGCTAGAGACTCGGAGGAAGCGAGGAAAGTAACCGGTAGGACTGACGGCTGCCTTTGTCTTCCTCCCCTCCACCCCACTGCCCCTTCCTGGGGCTCCTCTCTTGCTGCTGCCTCCGCCCGCTCCCCTCTGACCGCCCCCCCACGACACTTCCCCTCCACTCTAGTCGGCCCAGCGCGGCCAGCCCGAGTTTGCAGAGAGGTAACTCCCTTTGGCTGCGAGCAGACAAGCTAGCTCTGCGTTGCGAAGACGGCTCTGAGGAAGCTACGCGATCTCGGACACGCTTCAACTCTGGAGCCAGGACCTGGCTGGTTAGGCGGCACGCGGGGTGAGCCCCTAAGTTCTCCTCACTCCCTCTCCACCTTACCCTGCACGCCCCCGCCCCCCCAGCCATTTTTCGGGACCAAAGATCAAAGGATGAAAAGGCAATCAGGTCTTCAGTAGCCAAAACCAAAAACAAACAGAAAACCCCCACTCAAACCCGAACAAAACCAAAGGGAGGGGAGAAGAAAAACAATAACCCGGTTCCTATTTGCACCTGCTTCAGTGAACACAATCTGGAAGACGGAGAGTTTTCTTTTTATTTTTTTTCTTTCAAGATCTGAGCATCTATTGAATCTACCGTCCAAGTATTCAGAAACAGACTGAGCCTAGCAGGGCAGATTTTGTCTAACGCGTGTTTTCCTCTGCACAACACTTTGAGGCTGTCAGAGAAATTTCGTGTGGTTATTCCTGCAAGTTTCTTTCCCAGAAGCTTTCCGCAGGTGGGTAGCTAGCTGCAGTGACTACCGCATCACAGCCTGTTGAACTCTTCTCAGCAAGAGAAGGGGAAACAGGATAAAGGAATTAGGTGGAAGATTCAACCAAGCTCAAGGATGGAGGTGCAGTTAGGGCTGGGGAGGCTCTACCCACGACCGCCGTCCAAAACGTATCGAGGAGCTTTCCAGAACCTGTTCCAGAGCGTGCGCGAAGTGATCCAGACCCCGGGGCCCCGGCACCCTGAGGCCGCGAGTGCAGCACCTCCCGGCGCCCATTTACAGCAGCAACAGGAGACCAGTGCCCGGCAGCAGCAGCAGGGTGAGGATGGATCTCCCCAAGCCCAGAGCAGAGGCCACACAGGCTACCTGGCCCTGGAGGACGAACAGCAGCCTTCCCAACAGCAGTCAGCCTCCGAGGGCCACCGGGAGAGTGGCTGCATCCCGGAGCCCGGAGCCCCCTCGGCTGCCGGCAAGGGGCTGCAGCAGCAGCCGCCAGCACCTACGAACGAGGATGACTCAGCTGCCCCATCCACGTTGTCCCTGCTGGGCCCCACTTTCCCGGGCTTAAGCAGCTGCTCCGCCGATCTTAAAGACATCCTGAGCGAGGCCGGCACCATGCAACTGCTTCAGCAGCAGCAGCAGCAGCAGCAACAGCAGCAGGAGATAGTATCTGAAGGCAGCAGCAGCAGCGGGAGAGCGAGGGAGGCCGCTGGGGCTCCAACGTCCTCCAAGGACAATTACCTAGGGGGCAGTTCTGCTATCTCGGACAGCGCCAAGGAGTTGTGTAAGGCAGTGTCGGTATCTATGGGCTTGGGTGTTGAGGCATTGGAGCATCTGAGTCCTGGGGAACAGCTTAGAGGTGATTGCATGTATGCTCCGCTCCTGGGAGGTCCACCCCCTGTGCGTCCCACTCCTTGCGCCCAGCTGGCCGAATGCAAAGGTTCTCTGCTGGATGATGGCCCAGGCAAGGGCAGCGAAGAGACTTCTGAGTATTCCCCATTCAAGGCAGGCTACCCCAAAGGGCTGGAAGGAGAGACCCTGGGCTGCCCTAGCAGTGCTGAAACAGGAGTCTCCGGACCACTTGAGCTGCCATCCACCTTGTCTCTCTACAAGTCTGGAGCACTGGAAGAGGCAGCGGCTTATCAGAGTCGCGACTACTACAACTTTTCACTAGCCCTGTCCGGGCCACCGCCCCCTCCGCCGCCTCACCATCCTCAAGCCCGTATCAAGCTAGAGAACTCCCTGGACTATGGTAGCGCCTGGGCAGCGGCAGCGGCGCAATGCCGATACGGGGACCTGGCGAGCCTGCACGGCGGGGGTGCAGCGGGACCCAGCTCAGGCTCACCCTCAGCTGCCTCCTCTTCCTGGCACACTCTATTCACGGGTGAAGAAAGCCAGCTGTATGGGCCCTGTGGCAGTGGTGGTGGCGGCAGCACAGGGGAGGCCGGGGCTGTAGCCCCCTATGGCTACAACCGGCCACCTCAGGGGTTGGCTGGTCAGGAGGGCGACTTCCCCCCATCTGATGTGTGGTATCCCGGCGGCATGGTGAGTAGAGTGCCGTATTCAAGTCCCAATTGTGTCAAAAGCGAGATGAGCCCCTGGATGGAGAGCTACTCTGGATCTTATGGGGACATGCGGTAAGTTTCTCCGTTTAGAAATGTCTTTAAGCCTTGAGTCAGTCTGTGTCCTGCGGTATATCTTCTCCCCGCGTGAACACTCTGCTGCTGGGTGAGCCCAAGGGGGTTCCGTAGAAAGGGCTGTCCTGAACCAGGAACTTTACCTGGACTCTAGGCCTACTTATGATTATACCTTAGGGTTCCGAACCCTCACTCTGCGCCCCAATAACTGCCGTTAAAACCCTGGGTGCGGGCTCCTGCCTTTCCAAATTCCTTGACAATTCTCTGCTCCCGGCCTCCTAAAATCCTCCCTGACTCCCCAGGTCTCCAAATTTAAATCCAATTGCAAGGGCTACTGTCGGAAATAAAGCCCTTAATCCTTCCACTAATTTTTCTCCTCCATTCCCAAATCTGTGAACATGGAAAAATATGGGAAGTTTCTCCTAGAGTCTGTTAAAGTTTGCCCTCCAGCCTGTGACCAGTCTTGGCAGGTGAGAGGCAAAAAGACTGGCCCCAGCTTTTGTCAGCCCGCCTCCTTCAAAGAGATAAAATGGAGCGTGGAATTAGACGAAACAAGGTGGTCTGAGTTCTAAGGGACCGCTGTGTGAAAAAGGGGTGAAGTTCCTTCCCTGGCAACAATTGAGATCTTGCCCTGGGATTGGAGGTCATCACGGAGAATCCAACCAGGCACGATTAAGGACACTTTTGTTAGTGAACACTGGGCAGGATTTACCCTCACAGTTTAACTATGTTGGAAGTAGCTGCTTTTTTTTTTTCTTTTCTTGTAAATTGTTTATTTTCTCTATGGATTTTAACAGATACTCAGTCCTCTACTTCAGGTTTGCATCAGATTTATAAAGAGAGAACTTTTTTTTTAAATAAAGACTTTAGCCAGACTTGAGTCTGATTTATAAAAGTGTTGGAAAAAGTTTTAAAGGATTTCCTGCTAGTCCAGGGTGCTCAGAAATCTGCTTTTGGGAGGAAGGAGTAAGGCTCTTCAATATAGTCCTTTATTTTAAGAATGTTTTCAAACATGAGCTGTTACCTCTAACAAATTGAATAAGAACTGTTAGGGACCTATAAGCTATAATCTTGCCCAAAAGTTTTAAATAGAAAATGAGAAAAGAGGCAGTCAGTTTCGTCTTGCTTATTAAAAATTCTTCCTTACCACAGCTGTTCATTTTCTTGCAGGCCATGTTGATAATTTTTTCCTGACAAACTGAGATATTAGTTTATCTCCATGAGGGAGGGACTATATTGACTGGGGAACTAACTCCTCAAGTTTGCTGGATGCTGATGTCCCTATTGACTTGTGTGTTGTTCTGCATTTCTATAACTGTTGTTGACTATATCTGTGTTATTTTTATCTGTGACTTTTCAAATTTCATTGTTAGTGTTAGCATCTTTGGTAACTTAAATCGAACAATTTACCTCCTGTCACTGATGCTTCTGTTCTTGGAAGGTTGATAGCATGGGATTAGAAAAGAGAGAGGAGGATAAAATTTCATAAAATATTTTCTGGGCTATTGAAAAAAACATCTTCCTACCAAGCTTTACATCCTATTATGGTTTTAAGGTTTGACTTACAGGATTTTTAAAGGGTTCATTTATGGTGTTTTTGCGAGGTGTTTACACTGTGGGATAAAAGGTCTTTTTCATTTTCTAAGAACTGATTTACTTGGTAGGGTTAATTTTTTTTTTTTTTTTTTTTTTTTTTTTTTGGAAAGGCTGTTGCCAGTCAGCAAAGCCCTCTTCTGCTGTGAACTTTTCTGGGGCAGGGGATATCAAAAGTTATTCTTGACCTACCATTAGGCTAAACCCATCCACGGGAAGCTTCCCTCTTTTGCATGCCCCCTCCAACAAACTGAGTTAACAGGGAGGAAATGAATGATTCCACTTATTTGTTAAGGAATGAGTACCTTCCAAGAAATTACTTGAAATGTTCAGGAAGTGGTTATCGAGAACAAAATGTTCTTACTATCAGGTGTGTAGTTAAGATAGGTGATTTTATCCCAGGCTTTAATAGAAAAAGTTTTCTATTAGACTTGCTTAAATCAATGACTTTAAGTGATGAGAACTTTTCAGTATTCAAAGAAAGTATAAGATTATTGAATCTTCCCTGGTTTCTGACTGCTGCACTGGTTATAACAGTCTGGTGAGAGTGAAAACTGGTGTTCCTATCTTGTGAGTTGATAAAAAAAATTTTCATTCCTAAAATATAGAAAATTCTTGAGTCAGTTTTTTGAAATACCAACTTCATCAGAGTACAACCAATCCCAATCTAAAGATAAATATTTTCTTACTTTTCTTTCTTCCCCTCACTTTGTAGAGGCACAATTTAGTAAAAAAGCAAGGTATTTTTTAAAAGCCAAACCCAGAGCTTCCACCTTCTCTGTATTGCATGCCACCTTTGCATTAAAAATCTCAAAATTCTAGAGGTCTCCAATAACGTATTGGATTTTCCCCTTTTTCCAACTGTGTTGGTGTGTTCATACACATTAGTTAATTGTAGAGGTGGGAATTTGTAAAACTTTAGTAACTTTTGGCATAATTATGTTTTTATATATTTACAATGTTTCTGGGGAGAGAAGAAAGGCTGAAGGCGGTCTTTATTTTCTTACTTAATTTACCATGTGGTTTGAACAGAAGGAATCATAAAAAGTGATGGGGCTTACGTGCAACCCTGGTGACATTTTATGGAGCTGTCTTCTTTCAGAGATCAAACAAGACTACAGCTTTGTTAATTGACCACTGTCTCATTTAACAAAAGTAGTGTCCTTTATATTCTGGCAAACAGAACAATAATATGACAAATATTTATTCTTGGTAGTTAAGATCCAAGGGAGCCAGGAATTAGAATTGGGGTTTAGGTAAATTATCCAGGTGCAAAGAGAGAATTTAAATTTTCTCTTGGTATTTGGTTCCGGTCTTCATAATAACTAATATTTGAGTAGTGCTTTGAGATTGGCAAATACTGTCTTTCTCTATTAGTTATTTTGAAATAAGTCATTTTATTAATTCCCCTTTTCATCTCCTTTCACTTCCTCAGTTATCAAGCAACTTTTTATGACGACCTTTAATGAAGCAGTTTATTTTGTAAAGCATAATTTTGCTTTGGGATCCAGATAGACTAACTCTCTGTCTGTGGGCCTTGAGGATCAATATGTTGGGAAAAAATCCTTTCTACATGGTCAGCAAATCGCTGGTGAGTTCTGTCTGGGTACCAATAATCAAAAGCTGAGAATGAAATAGCCACACTGGCTGGTATCCTATTTTGAAATATGTGCAAGATGTAGCGATGGAAGGCTTCTCATTTTTGTCCACAGAGGATTTCTCTCAGCTCGGCCAAAGGTTAACATCAGTGAGGGATATTTTCGAAGAACCTTACAGCCTTCCAATCTCAGGGTCACTTTGTGGTGCTTTCTTGCCAGTGCTAATTTTACCTCATCAGGCTTAGGTTCTTTCACCTGTAAAATTTAATGTAATATATTGAATTTGCTGGCACATTTAATTTTCTTTAAGTGTTTTTCCTACCTGTAGTAATTTGCTCATCTGCTATACATATACACATTTAAAACAAAGAATTCCTTGGCTTCCTCGTGCTTACTTCTAATGTGGCTACTGGAGTTAGGAGCATAGACAATTTTATTTTTATTTTTTTGCCATGGTGCTATCGAGACCACCAGTTTCATTCAGAACTCTACCCAAGAGGGAGCTTAAAGCCGGCTGGGTGTAACAAGTAAATGGCTGATTTTATACCCAAACCTGAAATCATGATTCTGAAAAATAAAAAAAAAACAAACAGAAGTCAAGTTTTGTGAGGTTGATAGGAGAGGAAGAAGGAAATCTCTCTCCACCCCTTACTGCCACCATTTTCTCTTTGTTTGCAGCTTCTTCAAGTGCTGCCTGCCTGTCCCTGATTTTCTTTCTTTCCACTCCTTTCATGCTTTTGACATTGAAATGTAGACTCTTCTTCCTACTTTTCAGGATGTTTTTCTCAGTACTCTTGTGGAGTGCTCTTAAAGATTTTTTTTTTAATCTGGAGAATAACAAATCAGATCAACCCCAATTTCTTTTAGGACTAGATGACCTGAGGGGATAGCAAAATGAATAGCTGAGGTTAGAACTTGATTCAGCAGTAGCTGAGAGAGCTAAACTAGATGGCTCGAGGACTTGGCAATTTACTGAAGTATTTTGCTGGCTACTGTCTCTGTCTCTCTCTTGATCTTTATTTTGTTTCTTTGTGTCTACTGGCCATTTTGGCAACCTTTTCTCAAACCTTGAGAAGCACTGGACCCTCTCCCTTTTGAGACAGCTCTGCCTGGGTCAGATCACCATAGCACTTTCACAAAAAGTACCTAATGTGCATGAGGGTGCTTAGTATTAATGTCTGGCTGGTCTTATACACAGATGTAAATTAATCATTTGAAAACAAAGAAAGGTATTGAAAGAAATTACTCTACCTCAGACTTCCTTTGCCAACATTCTATCAAGTTCTGAGATACTGAATTCAGAGTAAGGTATCCTCATCCCAAACACAAAGATGACTTTTTTCATTGCTTGTAAAGTTATATAGAGTTAACTGGTATTGATTGGTATTTATCATACTGAAGAGAATTATGAAAGCTCATATTTATATTACACTCTTTTCAGAGAAAAGCCCCAGTTGTCTTCCAGTTTATTCACTAGCACTCAAATGTGGATTTACAAATCAAATGTAGCACTCAAATGTAGATTCTACAAATCAAATGTAGATTTGAGCAGGCCAGAGGGTGCTTAGTGAATAACCTTTTGCCAGTTGATAAGTACAAATAGTTGCATTTTCTATTATATTTGTTTACCATGTGGAGAAAGCTTTGTAGAGCAGCACTTCAGCTTTTTCCCTGAAGCTTCCCTTCCAGCTTTTTTCTCAATGCTTCCCACCTGACAGATAATGTTTTAGATTTTTGCTCTATAACAGCTACTTTCAATGGCTGCTGCATAGAGATGATAGACTGAATTATGCACAATTCCTTGCACAC